ACATAGTACAAAAGATATTTTACTTGCACATTCTAAAATGGATGTGTTATTTCATTTAGTATGTTATAAATGAATGAAATAAAAACAGAACAATATTTTTCAAAGTCTATTTAATTATTTCCCGGAATAGTCTCCTCCTCTCACAATAAGGAAGAGAGAGGTCAGGATGGGAATCAAGACCTAATCATCACACAGTACTATACATTATTGATTTCTGTACAATGGGCTCCTTCAGGAATAGAAAATGAATGAATTGGAGATTTGTAACTAGTGCTTAACCAATCAAGCAACTTATTTTCCACAAAATAATGTGGAATTCATATGAAGGTTCAAAACTGCAGAGTTGAGGGGGAAAAAAAATACAGCAGAATAAACAACATAGATCCAATGTTTCTTGAAAAGTTCAGGCATCATAAAAAGTATTTAACCACACATTAAAGCCAATTTTAATATTTTATGCATAAAAAAAGTTTCAGTTCAATGTAATAGAAAACACTAAGATTTATACATTCACACTATTGCACAATTGTACAATCTTGTTGATAGAAAGTTCTTGTTTGCTGCAACATAAACCTTTCAATAAAAGATCTTAGAGCTGTCTTAAATATTTCAGGTTAGTTTGTATTTCAGTCAGTCGATAGCACACTAAATCTACATGCAAAATTTCCTAGTTATATTTAGATTACAAAATTTCTTATTCTGTTACTTCAAAATATAGTTATTGCATTTTTAGTTTTGCATTGTTGAACCATCAGTCTTGTAACTAAATCTGTTTTTAAACCGAAGAACATTTTAACACACTTCCCGTGAATAATCTTAAGAAAGGAAAATATATATTTCTGAAATGATAAGCCATAATAAAGTGTGAATTAGAAAAAAATCACATTTACAAATTTTTAAGCACACAGTTGTATTATACATTTTCTAGTTCAAAATATATTTATCAAGGCAATAACAATACCTTTTAACAGTAAAAAAATACAACAATTATTTCTAGAAAATTAAAAAATAATTTTCCTTAATTGGATTCCATTTTCCTAAATTACAGTTCCTTAAAATAAAAATATTAGAAAAAAGCATCTGAATTATCTCTAAAAAAATTAGAGAAATGCATCCAACTTGTCATCAACTAAATACTTATTCTGTTAAGTCATATTCAGTAAGATAATTTCTGGAAAAAAAAAAAAAAAAAAACTGAAATGTTTCAGATTTTAAATTACGTCCAAAGGGGCGTTTTTTTAATGTTTTGAGTGTTACCTTTATTTATTAAATATCATGTTCTTTGCACTTAAACCATAAAATTCAGTTCAAAAGCAATATCGCAAAATAATGTTAAATTAAGCATATCTTTAGAATTTCCGATATACACAGTCTCGCGAGCTGGAGATAAAAGTATTTTTTTTCTATATAACGTTGCCATTTCTCGCTTTTAAAGCATTGAGTTTGTAAATCAAAAATTCGTTAAAGTTTTACAAAATATAAAATCTATAATAAAACAAATTCCAAATTTGGGATTTCAGATGCCCATATTCGCAGTAGGATTTCGTCATTCAAAATTCGATGGCTCTATGTACCATTGTTTTATTACAATGCGAGAAATAGACAATCATTTATGCAGATTTTCCATTATTTAATTTCTTCAAATATAATGTAGGACTCTAACATTTGGTGGCAACAGTTTGAAAAGTGAACCGACGTTTATGAGTCCGACGCAAAATCGCAAAATGAAAACAATAGTCCTTCAGGGACAAAGCCCCTTTGAACTACCAGTTATTTTATGCTCTGAATCCTGACTGTCTCTTCTCCCTTCCATTTCCTCAATGCATGGAATGGAATGTAAATTATGTCATTAAGTATTTATAATGGGGATTTTAGATTATAAGGCAGTGTGTTCTGCCTCTCCTTGTCATGTCAGTAGGTTGCTAAGATATGATTTCTGGTCCTTGGCCTTAAATTACAATCACTGATACTGAATAGCCATGCTGATTAATTTGAGCCAACTTTGCATTTTATTCATTTGTGTAGCCTTCAGCTACTAGCTTATTTGAATGTAATTTTATATTTTGCCACAGGAGGTTGGCTGATTTGTAAGCACCAGGTGTGCCTTCTGTTCCTAGTTTTAAATAAAAATTTCTTTTACACCCTTTTCAAATTTCAGTTGTTATTTTAGACTTAGTGATAATCCACTTAATGTCTACCAAGAGTCTGGTCACTATTAGATGACTGCAAAACATACTAAACTCTCTAAATAAGATTCAATAATTTTTTAATTTAATATTATATATATATATATATAAATAAACAAGGCCTATAGAAATAAACTGTATATAGAAGCAATATCACATTTTCAATTTGATATTTTTCTTGCATATGTCATTCTAGCTGCATTGATGGAAGAATGATTGCTTTCTAAGTAAAAAAAAAAAAAAAAAAAAAATCAGAAAGATATTTGTCTTTTTACTCAACTAAAATCCATTAACATCTCTTAAATCATTATTACTATTAATGACTCATCTGACAAAGTTTAATATTACACAGATGAAAATATGTATATTCAGTTCTTAAATTTTGAAAAGCAGTAGGTTTCTGAAGAACTTTCATTCTGCATAAACTAACAGCTTATTCCCTATCAGTTGAATTGGCCTGGAGGGGACAATTTTAATTACTTGAGAATTTCTTACTTTAAATCAATCATTCTTCAAAATGAATGTCTAATTTTCTCTTTCCATTTTCAGAACATTTCTCTTTGCAAAAATAAAAGTATCCATGGTTCAGTATTATAGCAATCAACCACAAAAATCCTGAACTGTGCAGAATTTAAGACAACATAAGTAAAATTAAAATTATGAAGTAAAATAAGATGTTGCATAAGGAATTAAGACTGAATGTTCAACAATATCTGAAAGTAATACCACTTTTTAACACCCTACAGATGAATAAGTGTGGCTCCTTATATATATGCTTCATTACACTCAAGACAATACATTAAAACTTGCAATGGATTGTGATTAGTATACAGCCCTTCAGTTATTACAATTTTAAGAACTGTCAAAAATGCAAACCTTAAATTAGAAAACATTTTGGCATTTAATAACAATATCATAATTTTGTTAGAATAAAAAACATTACATGTTATTTTATAATAAAAACTGAATGTAGTTTTTGCAAAATTGGAAATTCATGTCAATGTTACTACACATTATATATACAAATCATGAACTGAAAACAAAGACAGATTAAAAAAGTAAAATATAAAAAAAATAATGAAATATATATTATAAAATTTTAAAACAGCTTTGAAAATTTTTACACTTTTAGTTGTACGTAGCCTATTGGATATTTCATGCCAATATTGCCCAAAAGTTAATTCACATGTCAGAATATGACAAGATAAATTACATAGTATATATATATGTGTATATATGTTCTTTGGATTAGACAAACATTAATTACACATGGACTTAAAGACAGTAGTTTCATTTTTATAGAATCCATCACAAGAATCCATAATTCCTGAAGCTACAAGTCAAAATATCTCAATCATGCTACATAAAAAGTTTCTTTTTCTCTTGCAGGACATATTTAAATTTATTCCACATTCATGATCTCTGAGAATTGCCACAGACATGCTTGACGATACACACGTTCGTTTCGAAGCAAGTTCTGAGATAATGTTATCAACATTGTGTCCATGGCAAATTACACAATTAGCACTGCTGGAAGGTGGAGAGAGGGTATTTTGGTATCTAAACCATCTAAAGATAAGAGAGAGCAGCGAGATCTATTACAGGGTATTTTTTAAATGACAAATGATCAAGACAAGATATTATGTACAGGAATATAATCATATATTTATATATGTATGTGTATAAATACAACTTGTATTCGATGGCTGAAAAAACAGCATATCAGGAGAAAACAAATAAGGAAGTAACTGTATGTACAAAAGTTAACATTTAACAACAGAAAAGTCATTCTGAAAATGTTTCTGTTTGCTTTGGTTAAATTATGCATTTGAAAACGTTATAGAAGCACTGAGGTAACTTGTAACATTTTGTTGTTTGTTGCAACATAATAAAATAATAAATTTGAAAATTACAAAAACACTTTCCCCTTGGAGAATACGTAATTTTAGTTATAAATACAGTCTGTGGAAGAATTTTACCACACTAATTACATAACCAGTAATCTTGGAAATATTAACTCTTAAAACTATGTTTTATAACAATATGATAAAATCTAAGGCCACGGCAGATCATAGGTGTCACGGCGAACTGTGCATTTTTTAAACGTGCTCATATCGCTGCCAGCGCATACACATTAAAATAAAAATATATAACAAGAGTCAGAACTAGGTACAATTGGATTAAAAAAAAAAGATATTTACTTTCATAAATTAATATGATCAACTTGTAATTTAGAGTGCATAAAATGTTTGATTAAAAAATTGAAATGAACAGACATAACACACATAAAAATGTACAATTTGTAAGATTGTTAAAAAAAAAAAAAAAAAAAAAATTGACATCACATATTTGAGTGCTCCTATATACAAGTTACATCATAAATAAAACAAGCACAATGAAAACTTTAACAGAAGTTATTAAAATCTTAACTGGACATTAAGTGGCACCACTGACAAATCAATATCAAATGAATGTCCAGTTAACATATTAATATGTGCAGTATCATTTATTCTTTTGACTGGTAAATGCATCTGTAAATTAAACTAATACTATAAAAATCATCTGAATTTTGATATATGTCACATCATGTAAAAGATGAGCATTTCAAATAAGTTCCATATATTTGTTGAAAGGATATAACAGAGCCAAATTTCTCAGTCAACTAAAAAAGGCTCAATTTCATGCGGTTCCAAAAACACGCAAAATATACATTCAACAACATCATATCAGATATTGACATGACTTCAGTCTCCCAAAATGGGAAAAATATACCATGGCAATAATGCCTTAAAGATGTTGGATGACAAGGAACAATTTTTTTTTTTTTTTTTTTTTTTTTTTTTTTTTTTTTTGTATGTGTAAAATGTCAGTCTAAGCAGAAAACATCATATTTGAAGACAAAATTTGCTGCTTAGTGTCATCTATTCCAGTCACATGGCCAAAAATAACCAGTGCCAAGTTAAAGCACACAGCACATAAACTACCATCCAAATAGCATGCATAATCAAAACTTCAGCTTTATCTCTTTTTGCCTCATCAACTTGCTGAGATAGAACTGTCAGTAATCTAGCAGACACCACCATGAATATGGAATGTTGGACGATCAAAGATGACAATATATTTCAGCAATAGAGCAACTATAAATATATCTTTTTCACTTTTTGCACAGGTCTGTTATCAGCAGAACTGTTAGCACTCTTGCCATTCCCGTTTTTTGGAGGTACATTTAGGACGAGGTTGATAGGTTTGTTAGTTGTGGGTGAGAGAAAACCTTCAGTGTGATTTAAATGAGGAGTGTCACAGCTTCCTCTTTGTTCTAGGTAGTGTGCATCATCATATGGAGAGTCCACTTCTTCTGACTTGCATCGACGACTGAAGATATAGCCACTGATGAAACCAACTACTAATGATGAAACAATGCTTGTCGTGACAGCAATGGCTAATGTCTCCGCTGTATACATGTACTGGTGACCTCTTGACGCTCCGGTAGTTCCACCTGCAGGGAAAAAATTTGTTTTGCCTAAAACAATTAATTGCCCAAAAGTTAAAACATAGAAAAATAAATAGAATATATACAGGAACAAATAAATTGCCACACACAGAAAATGAGCTGTATGTAAGTATTTAGTGACTGCTATATCATTCAACAGTTATTAAGGAATATTTTTTTTACAACAATAGAGATATAAATGGAAAAATTTGAATGCAAAACTAAAAAACTCCTATGATGAATTATAATTGAATTCCAACCACACGTATATTTCTGAAATATATGTGTGGTTGGAATTCAATTATAATTGTACATTGTTTTAAAAATGTGTCATATATCTTTTAAAAACTGATACTCAAAATAATTGGTTTACCATATCAAATGAAATATTAATTTCAACTTCATTTTACTTAAGATAAAACACCTATACCATGAATAAGAGACACCTTCATCTAGAAACATATGCAGATCATACAATTTCCCCAGAGTTAAAATTTGGTTTTAGTCATTATTATGAATGTTGATATATACTAAAACTTTTTATGAGCAGTTCCCTTATAATAGATAATTAGTAATTGAATTACCTTACATAAACTATATTTATATGATATCACTTCAGAATTTACTACTATATGCAGAATTATTAAAATGCACATTTTGTTTCAATTAAAAAATTTTTTTAATGTAAGCTTAAAAGGTGCACCTAGAGTTTTTTTTTTTTTTTTTAAATTAGTTGAAGTTAAAATATGCAAATGTATTTTGTTTCTCTAATGTATCATTTTTTTAATAAAGCCCATTAAATTCAAATGGTAAAAAATATTGTGTAGGTATACCAATTTAATTATTATTTTAAAATATTTCTAAGAAATTTTTGAAAGATTTTTTCATAAATATATTAATATATGATTTCAATAAAAGATGCAAATAAGAATAACAAAATTGTTTTTTAGGGAAATTCTTAAAAGTAGTAATTAAATAACTATAATTTATCATTAAGACACAATAACATGCCGAATAAATACTAATTCAGAAGTCAAACAACAAAAATCAGCGTTATATTTTCAAAATTTTCACAGTACTAGTTTCGATGGTTTTACCGAACCACCATCTTCAGCTGCAAAACCACAAATGAACAAGATAGGAAATAATGATTAGATAAGATAAGAAAGCCTGGACAAGAATAAGCAAGTGGCACCATCTGTTGGTGAAACCAGAACTAAAACATAATTTCTTTAAAGGCCAAAGGCAAAGATGGATTGGAATTAGAATCGTTAACAAGAACAGAAAGATTTTTTTGAATGTGAAATGCCTCTAGAAAATCCAGTTCTCCAATGGTAGATGTTTTTTGAATAATTTTGGCAGCAGAAAAATTGAAAGTGTGATTTTCGGACCAACAATTTTGAGCAACAGAAGACTTCTGTGTTTCCTTTTTTCTAACATATGCCTCATGTTCCTTGATGCGAAATTTTAAGGCTCTCTTAGTTTGGCCAATGTAAATTAAACCACACTGGCAAGGAATCCTATAAATACCCCAACAATCATATCCGGAATGGGGTCCTTGATTATGGAACCCGGAATTTTATTGATAGGAGAATTAACTACCCAAAAGTTAAATTTCTGCAAAATATGTGCAACTTTATAGCTAACTGATGGAAAGAAGGGAATGACAACAGAATTTTTATAATCTCCTAAAATTATGTTTTAGTTCTGGTTTCACCAACAGATGGCGCCACTTGCTTATTCTCCTCCAGGCTTTTCTTATCTTATCTAATCATTATTTCCTATCTTGTTCATTTGTGGTTTTGCAGCTGAGGATGGTGGTTCGGTAAAACCATCGAAACTAGTCCTGTGAAAATTTTGAAAATATAATGCTGATTTTTGTTGTTTGACTTCTGAATTATAATTTATCAGTTCAATAAAAAAATTTAATTGAACTAATCATATTTGGAGAAAGTTAATATGAAGCATTTTTCTCCTTTGAAAAAAGTATTCAAATTTTTAATTTTGTTTATGATTTTTTTTAAGCCTATATTGTACAAATACAGCGGGGAAAATATATTTTTTAACTGAAAGCCCTTGGAAAGTAGTCCTTTACAAGGGTTGAATAAAACGGTAGTGGCAACATATCAGTATTTTATAAAAGACTTTATTACCATAGTTACAGACATTTAATTATTCCTCAATATAATCGTCTGCCACAGTTACCACTTTTGGCCAAATTACTGGAAGACATCATGCACTATCAGCAAGCTCACTTCTATTGATATTCTGCAGCAACTGCCCAACAATATTGATAATCTCTTCTCTAATGTTATAATGGTTCCCTCACTGTGATTTTTTTTATTACTTTAGTGAAAAAGAGCATTGTCATACAGACTTGTATGGCAGATGGTTTAGTACTCCCAGTCGCCACCATTATAGAAAATCTATGACAATAATTGGCCTAGGACACTGTGCATGTCATGAAGGATAATGGGATTTTGTCACCCAAGACATGTCTTCTGCATACAGCATTCAGAAGAAAGCAATATTAGTTGCCAATAAATCCCCGTTCTTCCATTATAATAAAAAGTGTCGTAATGTATGTTTTGTCACAGATCTTCCGTAACAGGAGGCACTGAAATAGTTGACATTAGTTACCTGATATGAGTACACGTCACTATGATTTCTTTGCTAAAATGAAAGAACCTCTATGAGGGATTCGTTAGAACGGCAGAGAGGATTCATGGTGGCTGCTGCTTCCTGCCCATAACAGAAGTAATGTGCTGATGGCATATAGTGTCTTCCAGTAATTTGACAGGTAAACAACTAACTATACTGAAGGATTGTAAATACTTGTACTTACAGTAGTAAATTCTTTTCAGAGACACTGACATTTTGCTACTACATTTTATACAACTCTTGTCGAATACATACTAAAAATGCTCTGTAACAAATCAGACAACTGCAGAAAATATATAATCTAACTCCATAAACAGTTTAAATATTGCTTATTATTACTAAGCAAAAAATAACAGCCTGAAATAAATAAATAAAATTCATATATTATATATTTTGTTAGTAGTTCATGCAAAAGAATAGTAACTATAAGCATGCATTATCTCTTCAATATGTATAGCTTCATTGACTACAGAAAATAATTCAAGCAAATCAAAGCACATAATCTGTATAGGAGAATGGACAGTAAGCCCCACGCCCTCATGGTGGCTGCTGCTTCCTGCCCATAGCAAATGCAATGTTAAAGGCAAACAGTGCACAACAGAACACCAGGTTAAACACATACTTAGCACAGAATTAACAAATTTCAAAAAAAGATTTTAAACTGCTGACTGAAATTTGATTAGAAAAAGTATGAGATGTAAATATATGCTGTTGAGAGAAAAAAGGTACAGAAGTTAATATATTTAATAAAATTAATAGAATAATGAAAAATATTAACATATTATATAAAGAAAATTTAAAAAAAAAAACTTGCATTTAAGAATAAAGTTAAGGTTAAAGTCATCTATAATTGATTAAATTATTTTATACTTGGAAAAGATATTAATACCTGGGTTTTCTTTCGCACATTTTAAATGAACTGTTCATAGTTTTTTCCCAGACTTTTTAAATTACAACATCATACATTCCTGAAAGCCTTTACACATCAACAGAAGTTCATTATAAACTGAAGTTTGACCTCAATGTTTAAATAGTTCTGAATTTCAGAAAATTTAAAAATACAATGGGTATTTCTTTCATGGAGTATTATGCCAGCTAATAATCTTGAAAAATAAGCAAACTGTGATCCAATTAATAATCCAACAAAATGAAACCAGTAACAGGGAAAATGTCATTGGGATTTATAAAAAAAAGTTTTTGTTATGAAATAAGTATGAAGTATGGCCAAGAAAGCTCAACATAAATATGCATCTCTTGTAAACAGCATGCATGTTATTATTAAATATGAATTAGAAGTTTGTTTGAACATAGGAAAGCACATTGGATAACCTGCTGAATTATTAATGAAGACAAAAAATTAAGGACAAATAAATAAATTGCATAAAAAATGTATAATATAAGAAAGCTTAAAAAATTAGATTTGTCTTAATATTACTCAAAAGTTACAATGGGTATTTTAAATGCAACTTTAGAATAAATACTTTTTTAAATCCAATATTATATTAAATAATAAGAGCACATAAATTATAAGGCAAATCATAAAATAAAAAACCAACATATAAATGTTATTAACATCCTGACTTTATCCATTTTAAACAGTAATTCACAGCATTTTACACAAGACACAATAAGGAAAAAGGTATGAGCAATTTAAATTGTTGTTCTTAAATTCATACTTTTTTAAAATGCTATAAACCCACACTTCATTATAAATACTTTTTTTAAGGCAAAAATAATGCTATTAACATGTTCATGCCTGCTTTTAAAATTAGATTAACAACTATTTGAAATGTTATGTAACACAAGAGGCATACTGCCTCTCTAATCTGAAACTTGCAGATAATATATAAATTGTACAAACTGAAAAACACTAAGCTTAAATGTTTGAAATTTGCACATACTTGAAGTATACATGTATTTAAATACTAAAAATGCTATAAATAAAGAAGGAATTAAGACACATCTTCTCCATAGGACAATAGTGACCTTTTTTTCCGTAAAAAATTATCCTATGTGGAACCTGAATATGACCCAATTTCCCCTAAAATGTCTTCCACAAAGTCATCCATACCTTTAGGCAGATAGCTGTCATGTGCTTTGCTATAATCTACCTGAACCCAAATCAAACATAACCTAATTTTTGTTTCAACACCTCTTCTGCAATCAACAGGAATAGAAAATACACACACACACACACACACACAAAAAAAAAAAAAAAAAAAAAAACTATTCACAAAAGCTATAAATAAACCCATCAGCTTCACTAAAATTTGTATTATATGTCAAACTACACAATGATGGAAATGGTTAACACTGCAATACATATATATGTTTCAATCAAGTTTCATACTAAATTTTCTTATGAAAACAAAAGTGTGAGCTACTTCTAAGAATTATACTGCATATGATTTTATTCTAAGAGAATGCTTATAATTCTAACACTACCAAGTTCAATGCTATGCATACAAGTAGATGTCTCTCTAAATAAGAGGTTATCAGATTGTGAGAAGTCAGATTTTCTTTCCACAATGCTCTCACTCATGCAGGAAGAAAAGCCAGTACATTAATTAGCTTTCTACTTCAATATGACAGCAAAAATTATATGTTTCATTACAAATAAATAGCTGGCAAAATTTTACATTATGAATCTCTAAGATAAGCAGTTGTCCTAAATGGAGTTTTCTAGAAAATTTTATTGTTGCTAATTACAGATTTGGGGCCACACAACCAGATGTGAGCGTCGCTGACTGTTATGCCAATGGATCCGGGTTCAAATACCAGAGAGAGCATGGATATTTGTAAATGTATAGCATCAATGCGGCATGGGGCACTCTAAATATGTGGCAAGCCGAAAGCCCTCTCGAAAAGTTGGTGGTAGAGAAAGAGAGGTCAGAGACTCTCAGACCTGTCCCCCAGGGGTGCTTTCTATCAAAATTGGGGGCAGAACTGAGCTAAATCACTCTGTCACTTGTAAGGTGCTCAGGGTTGTTGACAACAACAGGCATATCTTGTGCTCCTTGTCATGATAAAATTTTATGGACTTAAGCTGACTGTAGGTCAGACAAGTGAGTATTAGTCAAAAGCAAATTCGAATTCTGCATCTGTAGTCTGTAGGTTGATGTATCCTTAACTTACATATAGTTCTTCATCTAAGAAAAAAATTATACTTTTACAAAAAAAAAAAAAAAAAAAAAAAAAAAAGAATTACAAGATGCTTTATACATTTTGAAATTTAGTGTTATACACATTAACAACAACAAATTTGAATTCTGCATCTGTAGTCTGTAGGTTGCATTATTAACTTACATATTAAGATATATACTATTTTAAGCATGGACCTTTAGTCAATCATATATAATCTTTGCTATTAGTTGCATATAGTTATCTTCCTGCTACTTATAGTAACTGATAATCTAGTATTTCTACCAATTGGTTCTATTGTTTTCACTGTCTATGCATTAGGATGATTATTGATCTAATTCCATTTTGCAATTGCCTTGGAAAATTTTGATTAACAGCATGCACAGATTTTCAAAATTCAAACAATATAAATGAGAAATGACAAAACTTCAAAAAAAAAAAAAATATTTCCATACATATATCTCAATCAATATATTAAAATTGAAAAATTATTTAATCACACAATATACCAGTTGAGAGACTGATTTAAAATTTTGCACCTAAGGTTAGATTAAGATGTAAGCTATCAAGCATTTCAAATTTCATTCTCATTCCTAACAGATGTCAAACAACTGTATAGACTATACTAGTTGAAATATCAGAAACACTTTGAGACCATGAGAAAACATTAAATATATTTCATGTTTAGGACATCTTTTTAAACAATTATAGCATGAGGCTTATATACTGCAGCATGGTAAAATATATCTATACATCTGATCAGAGAATATTCAAAGATTAAGTTAATGAAAGGTATTCATAAAAATATGAAAAAAAATTTCTAAAGCTACTATGTCAAAATTGACCATGAACATAGCAATGAATAAGAAATTTAGCACTATTATTAAGGTTACATAATTAACTTTTGAGGGCCTGAAATCTAATGCAGAGTGCATGGTTAGTTGTATATTACACTACAAAAACCAATACAACTTATAACTATGAGATACTGCTTTGTTTGATTATACATATATGATGATATATATATGCACACAGATGTGCAAATCTGATTAATTTATTAGTGAAACAGAGGGGATCAGTGTGACCAACAGACAGACTCTTTACATTTTAACATATTTCTGTATATATTCATGAAATGAGGCATTAGAAGATTGTAAGAATGCATGTATAACTTGAAGAAAAAAGACGCAATAGTTCTGCAATTCTACCTTCTATATCACTCCTCAGATCAGCTGTCTTCTAGCTGATGGCTTAAGAATTTGCTCATGTGCCAAATAGAATTTCATTATCAGTGGCCAGAGGCATGACAGTACCTAATTATCATTACCCCTTCACTTAAAAATATGCTGTCTACATAGGAGGAGCTGGGTAACAAATTCACATAAAACACACATACAGTACAAAGTTCATAATCCAGCCACGTCGGGACTTCAGCGATTGCGGTATAGAAGTTTTTTCGGATTATAGACCAGCAATTTAAATCTGGTAAGATGGCATACAGAAATTGTACAATTTAAAATATGAAACCGTAATTTATGAAATAAAAAGCAATTACAGTCAAAAGTCGTTAATTCGGACACCCATAATTCGGAATGATCTATAATCTGGACCTCAAAGCTAAAAACTTTCTGCGCATGCGCCGCGTTGACACATGTGCACAGGCGTTTACGCGTGCGCGTAAGACCTCTTACGACTGCGCATTTGCGTGTGCGCAAGCGCAGAATACGTTTTCGCATGCGCGTTTTATGTATAACGGACGGTGAAAGCTAAAATTATCTAATTATCTATTTCAGTTAATGTTGATGATTGCGTTGTTCCTTAATTTTCGAATTGGATCCGGCTTATTATTTTTTGCAGACTGTAAGAGCAATACTATAAAAGTAAACTTGAACTTTCGATTATGTCAAATAGAATTTTTCATTCTGGAGCTCCCAAAGGATCGTACAAAACGAAAGTATGTTTCGATGTCTATCAAACAAAAAGTGGAATTGCTGCAAAAAATGGATAAAGACATGAAGAATGTGACAGAGAGGTTAGTGAAAACGAAAAAATTTCGATTGACAAGTTAGTCGGTATTCTCGGCACAGCAATTAACGGGACATGAACAGTGGAACTTTGTAAGTGAACAAAAAATTATATCTGTTTATAGAATTAAAGAGAAAGTATTATCACATAAAACGAAGCAACTTAAACAACTTATATTGAAAGAAATGTTTAATAAAGTAAACAAATAAATATTAAGCTTTTTTTTTGTAAATTTTGATACCCTTTAGATCATAATTGTTCTTTATTTCATAAATTACGGTTTCATATTTTTAATTTTAGAATTTCTGCATGCCATCTTACGCGATTTAAACTGATGATCTATAATCTGGAAAAATCGGTAATCCGGAATCGCCGAAGTCCCGACGAGTCCGGATTAACGACTTTTGACTATATGATCTAAAGGGTATCAAAATTTTAAAAATAAATAAATAAATAAATAAATAAAAATAAAAAACAACACCACCTTAATATTTATTTGTTTCCTTTAGTAAACATTTTTATCAATGTAAGCTGTTTAAGTTGCTTCATTTTTTGTGCTAATACTTTCTCTTTAATTTTATAAACAGACATAATTTCTTGTTCAGTTACAAAGTTCCACTGTTCAAGTCCTGTAATTGCTGTGTAGAGAATACCCACTAACTTGTCAATCAAATTTTTTTTGTTTTCAATAACCTTCTGTGTTACTTTCTTCACTATCGGAAGCACGCATGGTTAAACGCTGTACTGGCTTTACGTGCATGCGTAGCAGATTCGTGCATCAAACGCGCATGCGTAAGTTTGTGGCTTTGAGGTCTGGTTTATAGATCATTCTGGATAATGGACATCCGGATTATGGACTTTGTACTGTATACTACAAATGCATACATATATAAGATTATTTAAATTACTTCTTACTTAATAGTAAAGGAAGGCAAGTTTAAGCTTTAATACTGCTCTTCATTTTCTTTCTAAGATCTTTATTTCTATATTCGGCAAAATTTCAGGCAACTTTAAGTCAGCTGCAATGTTTTTCCACACACAATATTGTGGAACCAATGTAAGTCAATGTATCATTTTATGGAAAGATACAAAATATTGTTACCATTTAAATGAACTGATTCGAAGGAAACTCAACCAATTATGAGGAAAATAAAAGATAAATGGAAACTTCTTTAGTCAAAGATAGAAATAACAGATTACTATTTGGCATATGTATTAAATTATTAATTGTTGATAGTAACCCTAGTTAAGTATGCAGAATTCTCAGAATATTTACAGCTAGCTTTGTGTTGCCGAGATTGATAAGTTTTCAATAATTTACAGCAACGTTTTTAGTTTAATACTGGTATATTACATTTAAATTTGAATAGAATTAGATTAATGGTATAGTTTCTCTAGTATCAAGTAGCTGATGTTCTGTTGCTCTTATAAACGAAAATTATACATTGAAAGAAATATTCCTTAGCAGCTTTCAGATTTTTAACAGAAATGCTCTTTAACAAAGAGGCAGCAGCCACTAATAAGTGATTATTAAAAACTAAGCATACAATTAGAAGAAATGTTAAATCAATTTTTTATATATCCTAAATCATAACAAAAATTCTCAAATTTATAATTGCATTTTCTGCCATCAAATGTTTAAAAAATAACAAATACCTATCTATACAAATATGCAAATCTACAACAGATACTGCACTTATGCGAATTAACAGCAGCATTTAAGACAAACATGACAATTCAGCAGATTTTGAAATTTGCACACAGACGCCCAGTGCATGCTATTTGAGGGCAGGACGCAGCTAAGTTGGTTTGTGACATCACTTGACCAGATCAAGCAGTTAGTAATAATTATACATATATATACATATATATATACATATATGTATAATTATTAAGAGTAAATAAGATAACTACATTAAGAGCTGCTCAAGTGATTCTAAACCCTCACTATTTAAAAGCCACACAAGAGGCCGTAGAGTTTACCTTCTTTCAGATCATCCTCTGTCTCAGTAGTCGAAGAAGAAGAAGGAGGGGAACCACCCCCAGGAGTGTCATGACGACTGGCTGAATGGTGAGGGGACCGTTGAGGGGTTGTCCCACCAGCAGTTGCCCGTCCTATTTAAAATATTTGCTTTATGTACAGCGAATTAAATTGTGGTATGAAGCTGTATTAGGTAAAATCAAACTGAAAAAAATAACAATAAGGAAAAAAAAAAAAAAAAAAAAAAAAAAAATCCTGATCCTTCAGACTGCAGTTGAACATCTGAAATTTGAAATAAACTTGCAATTTTTCAGAGTGAAACATGCAAACAAAAAACTGAAATTGATTTTTGTAGTAATCAGAAATATTTACTCGACCAAGCATATAATATACAAACAAATAAAAAAATTAAATTCCAATTTTTTATTTATGTATGTATGCGTTTGCTACATAAACTGAAAAGGAAACAGAATTTAAAAAGACTGAAAAATTTATGACCTGAATTTTTTTTTGGGGGGGGGCAGAAGCTAACAGAAAAATGTATTAGTATTTCAAAATCGTAAAAACAACCTTGTATTTAGCGTAAGTATATTGAAACACTCAATTGATTTCGAGGGCAGCTAAAGGTCCCTCCTCATCAGAAGAAAGAAATACCTAGAAAGAAGAAAATAAAGGGGAAGGAGTCTCAGAAACACATGGTCCTTATCAGCACTGCACATGGTTATAACTGGATTTTTAATCAGAGTTGCACTGGCCGCCTACTTTTACTGAGCCAAACTATCAGATCAAGCATAAAGGACAAGAAAAATTAGCGAAGTTAAAAATAGGGAGCGAGGGGCAAATGCACCTTCACGCTCAAAATCTGAACTTCAAATAATGGAAAGCAACCACTGAACGGATTTTTATACCCTCTGGTAGTACCAAACGCGAGAAGGTAACGCCATCTATCAGCAAAAATAACCGAATTAAGATAGTAGAATTTTAAAGGCATTAGGAAGGACTGGATTGGACTTCAAATCATTAACTAGACCTGCTAATTCTTGTCCTTTATGCTTGATCAGATAGCTTGGCTCAGTAAAAGTAGGAGGCCAGTGAAACTCTGATTAAAAATCCAGTTATAACCACGTGTTTCTGAGACTCCTTCCCCTTTATTCTCTTCTTTCTAGGTATTTCTTTCTCCTGATGAGGAGGGACTTTTAGCTGCCCTCAAAATCGATTGAGTGTTTCAATATACTTACGCTAAATACAATTTACGATTTTGATTGTCACATTAGCGTGTTTCTCTTCTAGTCTAGTATTAGTATTTCCCTATTTAAAAAGTAATACTGTATAAGTCTAATCACATCTGTCATCAAATGAAAAGGTCTGACTAACTTTCAAATATATTAAACTTCATTTTTTGATGATACTGCCTCTTGAATTGAAATAGGTTTTTGAGCTATATTCCCACTTATATCAATAAATAGTTTAAAAATAATCTTTCTGTATGTAGTAATCTTTTAAACTCTGTATGAGCACGTTCTTCAAGATGTTCCTCAAGATAACTGTTTTGTTTGAGTACTTTGCTTATTACATTATAAAATCACTGGTAAGTACCAAAAAACTGATTTTAACTTTTTGCTATATATTTTAATATTGCCCAGGAAGTACTCGTAAGTGTTAAGAAATGGAATGACTTTGATGATCAAACCAAAGTCATTTTTTTTTACAGGTGTTATGCACATCTTTCAGAACTTGAAAATAGTAACTGGTGTTAATGATGATACCACAAGGTAGAAAACTCATAACATAATGCTACTTTCATCCTCCAAAATATGGCCATAACTCTGCTAGCAAACAAACTTGATATAAATTTTTCGGGATGCAGTGAGCTAAATGCTTTCCACCTTTAATGCACAGTTTGATTCTGTGATGAAATTACACAACCTGTGTTTTATTCAAGTAACAGATAACAATATAGTAAAAAAACTATCTTCCATCTTTTTTTTTAACATGCTACAGATCTGTAATCATCTTTGCAGTTGAAGGCAGGCAGCTTTCATGGTACACTGCCCCCCCCAAAGGACAGTTCTATATCTCCCATTCTACTGGGCTGATTGACAAAATTCAAATTGCGTTTTTAATGACTCAAAAGCGCGACTTAGGATATATATTAGATTTATATATAGCGTTGTTCTAAAATAGGTGTTTTGACAAAAAATCGGACTTTTTTGAGATGATATACCAATTTTTTTTCCATATTTCGTTTCTAGGACTTAAATTATGCCTAGATATTAAATTTTGTAAAATTAATGCAAAATTTATGGAGAAATTCAAAAATTTATCATGGAGCAATTTTTTCAGTTTGCGCCAACAATAATTCACTTAACAAACTTCTTAATATATGGCAACCAATTTTCCTTTCACTTCCATTATGCCAGAGCGGAAAAAAAAAAAAGGCAACTCATTCCTACCTTATTACTGTGCATGAGCGGAAAAAAGTCACATCGTTTCTACTTTCAAATAATTTTAGCAAAGTGTCTAAACCACATTTGATGTTTTATTATGTTCAACAAATATACCAAATTTCAAAATGCACCAATATATAAAATTCATCTATATCTTCGGAAATTTTATATAAAAAATTCTGTTTTTTTGCAGGTATGCTTAGTAATACATCTACTTTAAGATGACGGTTTTATAGATTATAATTCAAAATTTTTTCGAAAAATTTATAAAAATTATTTTAAAATACAAATTTTTAAAATAAATCCAAAAAAAAAAAAAAAAAAAACGGGGGGGGGGGGGGGAATTTTATTTGGAAGGAACCTAAATTTCAAAATTTGAAAGGAAAAATCGAATAAGTTTAATAAAAAGAAGTGAGATTAATAAATATGTACAAATTCAATTAACATTGAGGAGCTAATTTTTTAAAAACTACTCGTGCAATTTTTACAAAACTTGGCAGTTTGGCACAATTTGAGTCGTGGAATCGAAATGCGGAAAAAAATTGTCATGTCATTTCAGAAAAAGTCCGATTTTGTGTCAAAATACCTATATTAGAACAGTGCTATAAATAAATCTAATACATATCCTAAGTCGCACTTTCGAGACATGAAAAAAGCAAGTTGAATTTCTTCAATCGACCCTAGTTGAACTGGAGATATAGAACTGTCGCCCCTTTTTTTAAGCAGTGTACCTAGATGCACTAATATTCTAGCATTTTACTGTTGGCAATATATTTTCCAATGATCTTCAAAGATCAGGCATACACTTATTGAATGCTCACAGAAATGACAGCAATGAATTCCAAACAAGTTTGGCTAAGATCACCTTGCACTGATGTTTGGGCACTTTAAACTGTTTAATTTAAGCTCAAGTTAATCACTGGTAAAAATTTCATTATATATTGTGGTTACATGTAAATTTCACACTTTCATTTTTAAAAAAATTACCATAACATATCATCTTATGATGCTCAGAGGCCTGGATACCATTTTGTTAAATATGTAACTCGCACTGCTATGTGACAACATGCAGTAGTAGTATGTATCATTTTTTGACTAACAACATGCACTTTGCATACAGTGCAGGATTTACGTATAAGGCTACACAAGCCCCCCCAAACCCTCTAAATATTTAAAAATCATATTTGGGACTGACATACAATATCTGGACTTATAAAGGGCCCCATATCTCAAACAGCTTAAGGCTTTATCAAGTCTAAATCCAGTACTGTTTGCATATGCTCATGAAATTAAATCTTGGTTTGATTAGAACCTCTTTCCTAAAATTACACTATAATTTATGAAAGCATGGCTTACATTAATGTAACCACTATTATTGTTTCATTAAAAATGATTTCCTTGTTAGCAAAGATCATAACTATTTTTTGACATCACATTACCATCTTATTTATTATACTTTGCCATAAAAATTATTCCACAGAGATTAATTTATTTTAATGCTAGAATTATATCTGGGGGGGGGACAATTCAGATAACTGTAACCATTTAATTTCCATCAGTCATTTTTGCCATCATAGACATAACCAATGTTCTGTATTTGAGCTTAATTTAAAGTACATTTAGAGGAGAATACATTTTTTACAAGAAATCAAATATCCAAGAACCACTTGTTCTCTTTTAAATACAGCTTTAATAAAAAATCCATTAACATTGTAATATTGATAAACTAGGTGTAAGAATATTTCTGATTTATGTATGCAATTTATTTTACTTAACTATTAGAAACTATTAGAAAGTATTATTACTTAACTATTAGTAACTATTAGAAAGGTGGTATAAAGAATGTGCATTTACCTGATACATTTCTCAAGAAATTTAAAACTTATATACACCAGAATAATACTACAAAATACTTTCAAAAAGAACATGACATGCAATTTTTAGCTATATCTTTCTACTCTAGCTCCTAGTTCTATCTTTCTGTTCAATAAAATATTATTTAAACATTGGTTAAAGACATTAAGAGATAATACAAGAAGGTAAATGAAAAGTAATTTACAATTCTCATAGAATATTTATTTGTATTTACGCATGTAATGCCATCTTAACAGAATAATTTCTTTAATATGATGATGCAAAATCAACATTTTCAATGGTATCCATTATTTGAGATATCAACTTACTCTTATTTTTTATATACAGTTATAAAAACTATTAAATATATAATACACGATGAAACTTTAACTAAAAATTAAATCAGGTACTTTCTCATTAAAATGACCAATGTGGTTAGTTGCCAAATTTGGTATGTTAATTATGAGATTTGATTTGGTTTAAAATGTAAAAATGATTTTCTGATTTCATTCATCTGCTTGTTATTTTGTAACTGTCAAAGATGTATGCAGTGGCAGCTTTAATCTTTTAAGTGATTAACCCAAGGTGAACCTGTTAAGCCTATTCTTTATATCACAAACAAACTAGGCTTCTGCTCCAATTCTGTGCTTCATTGGGAATGGATGAGCCTACCTCACACTCACTGGTTTTGCTTCTACAAGATACGATGAACTAGACTCAGTCTTCTTTAAATACGCCCAATGTTTTTTTCTCCTTCCCTTTTTTTAATAGTCAAAGTGGCTCCATATATTTAAGGTACAACATAATCTTTCCCCCCCCCAAAGTTCCATAGA